CATGTTTCAGAGTGCTTATGTGTTATCTTTCAAATCAATGAATCCTGGAGTTGTGTGTTTTATTCTGTGCCAAGAAATGAAATAATTGTCCAATTTATTGTCATTTTGTTCTCTTCAAAGTAGATCTTTGAATCAGAGAAGAAACAGTATTTTTTTTCTTCTCTCTTAGAATTTAAGTATAAAGAACAATGCCTTGAATACCCATCCTCAATTCTCGGAAAAGGTAAACTTTTTTTTATAAGTGTATAAATGCTAAAATAATGAAACTATCCAAACCTCTCTGATACTCTTCTCACTGCTTTAAATATCATCAAAACAACGCTCAAATAAAACTGACACTGGGAAAAAAAAGTGTGAAGTGTAGAGCCTGCAATCTGCAAATGAGAAAACTCCAAACCTCACCATCTCCTGCCTGATCTCATTGTTTTTCACACTTATTTATTCCTCCCTTTTACAAATGTACCAGCGAAAGGATTTGCGTAGGTTATTTGAAAACAGAGCTGGGTGACGACACTTAGTCCTCGCAGAATCTGCTTGGATGAGAATGACAGGGTGTGAAATTATATCCTGCTGCTTCTTCAGCTGTGCTTTCAGCTCCAGCTTGGGACTTCAGTTTGCTTCCAGCTGTTTTCCACCCAAAGTAAAATGTTTCCTGGCCATGTGCTGCCTCTGTTTCTGTCAAGTGGGGTTAGGAACTGGTGTTGAAAAGACGATATAGTGCTCTTTACCTCCTGGAAATTCTTTTCTGCAATGAGCCATCCTAAAAGGCCAGCTGTGCCCAGCCACACAGCTGTTTCACACAAAAATAATAGCTTCAAGCTCTTTTGTCAAGGCCAAGAATCAGATCCTGTAAATTCATGAAAGATGAATGCTACAGTAAACTCTAGGAACTTTTTTTGTATAAAAAATATTATAAATAATGTAATAAAAATGAAGCGCTTTGTAGGTGACAATAAGCCTTATAGGTAGCTAATGCCACATTTGGTACTATTTTTTGTTTGTGCTCCAGTCAGCCAGCACAGTATCCAACCTAACCTCTAGCAGGAAATTATATATTCCATTATTCCTTATAGTACAATAAAGCCCTTTATTTATGGTAAGAGTTAGTTTTGTTGTCACAGTGACAGAATTCATATCTTGGCAGTGTATCAAGGCTTTCCTTCCCTCCTTGTAGTGGTTATCCCTAAAAGTGTCCTATCCTCCTGTTGTCAGACCTGCACATGTGGTTTATCTGTCAGCATTTGGACAAAGGCTCTCAGACACAGAGATTTCATTCTCTTTCTGGTCAGATGTAACAGAAGAGGCACAAAGGTCATAAGACATTTGCCTTTTTTTCAAACTCGTCTCACTTTTTTCTAGTTCTAGTTCCAGCCTGTCGATTCCATGGTTGTGGTTGACAGCAGAGTATTGTAAACTTACCTAATTATTGTGTGGTGTCATGGATCCCTTTATGAGAAGTGCATTTTCTCTAGCACAGTTTTCCTTCAAAAGTGTTTCATCCTCTTCAAGAAACTGATGTTCTCTAAGAGGAAATGTTCAAATATTTCCTCTTAAAGTTCTCATGCTGAGCATGCACAAATCAGAGAGGCAATTAGAAAATTAAAGTATGATGTTGTGATTTCAAAGGCCAAGTGTAGGCTACAACCTGAGAAAAGCAAGTAATTGTAAAACTGAAGGCAGAGGTACCTGTAGGCTGTGTACCTACATTAAACTGGTCTGTCCTTTGTTCTAGACTGAAGTGAGAATTTAGATTGCTATATTTGGCCTATGAAGTGTGAAATGAATGGGGACAAGGCACTATTTCATTAGTAATGGTCCGGGGTAACTCTCTAATGTTAGAATCTAAACTTTTGAATTAAAAAAAATCACTATTAAGACTACAAGGACAGGAAACAATTGTATTTTAACAGTCAAAACTTTATTTTAATATAATTCTATGTGAACTGTATCAAACTTCTTTTAGTGTTGAAGAAAATGAAGGATTAGCAGCCCTAGATATGAGAAGTGGAAAGAAATTTATAACTGTACATGTGAATATTTCTGTTTCAGCTGCTGTGGAGCAAACCTCACTTTTTCTTTAGTGTTGCATGGAGTTGTGATCTTCTAAATGCAGGAAAAAAAATGAGGGCACTCACTTCCTAGTGTGATGTCAGATAAAATAAGACTGAGCCTAATTTATTATGTCTTATAAACAGATGCTCCTGCATATGGGCATGTGTTTGTGTGTTTGTGTACTGATACATTTTAAGAAATGATTGCCCTCTTGGTAATTGTTGTGAATAATTCTTGGTGAAAAAAAGATTCCATTATGTAGGCACCTAAAGTTGTCAGTCACCTCTTCAAACAATTCTCTTCAGTTCCCACTTCCACCTTTGAATTCCCACTAAGCTTCCTTCTTTTTCCTGGTGTCAAGTAAGAGCAGGCATGTCAGCATTCAGGAAGGTATCATCACACAGTTCTTCCTAATTGCCAACACTGAATAAATTCACATTCACTTATATCTGTGAAAAACTCACAGATTGTGCTTGCACAGTTGAGCTTGGACAATCTCATCCATCTCAGATTTTGCTTTCTCACCTAGCTGGAAAAATTCAGAATCCTTTCCATTTCTCAAACTGGAAAACAGTCCATTTTCCTTGGGGGAAGGGTTTGTAAGGGAATATACAATGCCCTTCCATGTCCAGATAGTCTTACCAAGTGCATCAAGTATTTTGCATTGTCTATAAGAATATTTCTAACCAATAGTTCATCAGGTCAGCTGAAAACGTGAGACAAAACCCCCCAGAGCAGTATCAGCACGGTTAATCTTTTGTAAACAGCTTTCCTTTGGAGGCTTGCACAAAAAGACAAGTCGTTACTAAACCATGAGAAAGGGAATTTTCTTACTGCTTGTTAAGCACTGCAGGTAATTTTGAAGGACTGAACATCATTGAAAGAAAAATCTTTGTGTTTTGTGTCACGCATATCCATAAAGTTTGCACATGTATAGTAATGAATGCTTTCTAATGAATATAAATTCACAAAATCCAAACTGACTTTGAACTTTTGTGAAATGCTTTAACCTGTAAATGATAATTGTTTGTCACTGTCATTATTTCAGCACACCTGCAATATATAGCAGTTATACATGTGCTGAAGTTCTCTTTGCTTTCCAGATATACCTGCATAACAATAGACCTGTTCCTGGGGTTTAATTCCCCCTGACTGGGAATTTTGGATGGTGAGCAAGTCTGAGGTTTATGACAGTGAGACAAAGCTGCTATAGACTTGCCTGAGTTGAGCAGCAAAAGATCAGCACAGCCCCCATGAGTGCACCTTTCCTGATGGTGTGCCTGGCTGGATGGTCATGTCAACCAAACCAAAATTAAAATGTCAGTAGAGAGTCTGCTGTAGTTGGCACAATCCAAGCTTAGTTTCTACTATTTCTGATGCTTCTCTGCAATTCAGCTGATTTTTGAAGCCAAATTAATCATATTCACAAGCATTCTCATGTTTGGATAGAGGTGTGAGGCTACTCAAGGCAGCTTGTTTTTGTTTTGGATCTGGCATTTGCTAGTTGACCCTAATATATTGCACTTGTGCATGAGCTAAACTGCTGTATCCTCACAAGATGTTACTTATGTTGGGTCTCAGATGTCATTTTTTAAGGGGGATGAAAAAGACTTCACATGTATATTCTGTGGCCATTCAGGGGTGGTCTAAGAGCCCACTCAGGGGTGGCAGCAGGGAGCGCTACTGCCTTCAGCTGGACTGGGCTCCATCCTCTGACTTGAGCAGTGTCACAACATGGTTACTTCAGGATTCAAAAACCCCCATACTATCTACCAGCTGGTACACTGTAGTCTGTAGAGATTGTTAGTTACAGTGACATTTTCTGAAGAAAAGGTTTCACTATGGGATCAGTAAATGTGCTCTATCTTCCACCATTCGGCTTCACCCACGCGACAAAATTTAATCACAAAAGTATGAGAAATGAATGTGACAGACTTCAATACTTTGTTATTCATGACAAGTTAGACATTTTTCCCCATAAAATTAAGGGCTTCTAAGGACATGGTACAGCTGTGATCGGTCACTGCTAATTTTGAGAGTTCAATATAAGCTTTGACGTTTTTCTTCTAAATTTCGCTACAAAATAAAACCTCAGACACTTATTACAGACAAATGCTGAGAGTATGAATGAAGATTGAGTATAGTTTGAACAAGCATATTTCAACATGAACATATGTATTCCTTCATGTTAATGCCAAAAAATGTGGTTAAGGAAAATAATATTTTTTCAAATCATCCTAAAGTTGAGGCACAGAGCTCAAAGGAACATGTCTTGAAAGGGCTTGTTTACTTGATTTGTCTTCTTTGAACCACTTTGTTTTGTTTTTAAACACTAAAATATATTGTAATTACACTGGGGCTTTGTGTATTCTTTTATGAGTTTATGGATAAATGGTAAACCTCTGGTTAGGCAGGTTATTTCCAGGACAGGAGAAAAAAGGGTAAGCCAGAAGGAAGGCTGTGTATGTTCTGGATCTTGTATTTTTCCCTTGGGAAAAGCAACTGTGTGAGATTATAGAAAGTGAGAAATTTAGACATGAGTGATTTATCCCCTGCTTATTTATCTGGACCTGGATTTCTGCATTTGACCTGTGATGCTGTTGGGGTGGGGCTTTGTTGTCTGTGCAGTGCTAAACCCCATAGCCTTGAGCCTCTGGGGAGGCTTGCAGAGCCACCCAAATGCATGAACTGGCTCTTCCCAAATGTCATTCTCAGACCTCAGGGAAAGGCAATTGATGGAGTTTCCCTGTTGGCACTCACTATGAAAAATGGCTGTGTGTAACACTCTTCTTCAGAAAGCACTGCTGGAAAAATAGTAAAGAAAAAGCCTTTTCCACCTAATTAGTGCTGCTTGCCTAACTGGAGGAGGTTCATGCAGTGGCTTTTTTTTTTTTATATCTTTTTAATTTAATTATTTAATTTTTTTTCCTCCTCCTTCTGTGTTACAGATATACGTGGGCTGCAAGGATTTCTCGATCAGGCCTCCAGGCTGGGGCTTGATGTATCATTACAAAAAGTGGACAGGAACATCAGCAGAGTGTTTTCCAACCTTTTCACCACCATGAAAACGGAAGAGCTGAACCGCTACCGGGACACGTTGCGAAGGGCCATCCTACTCCTGAGCCCACGGGGAGCCCAGACTTTCATTAATGAGGTCAGTGCACAGTTTTTTTTTATCATCAACATTTCAGAAACATGATTATGACCCACGTCTTGCCCTTTTGACAGTGCTGGTTGTTTAATGTCAAATAAGATTGTCAGACTCTAGTGCCAGGGAATTGAAATGTCACATGCTCTGTGGAATGCTTGCTTTGTGGTTAATGCAAATGGGGCAACATGGACCAGATATTATATAATACAATAAAATATACAGATCTGTGGGGGGTATTTATTTTTGTCTTTTGTATCAATACTTTTGTCCTGGATTTCAACCATTGTTAATAAGTGATCAGAAAATCTGCAGTAATCTGTTAGAAATGAAACATAATGTGCCTGAGAGAGCTGTCTTTGCTGTGGAAATCTCCAAATTTGTCTTAAAGGGGCACATTACTGATGGTTGAAAGTTGAATCAAAGAGATTTTTATGAAATATAAAGTTGGAATTACATGTTTGTCTTCTTTTCTTAGTGGTTTCTTGAAATCAGCGATGCTAATTAGGACAGGGAGTTAGCTGTTGGGCAAACTTTTAATTAATGTGCTGTGGGCTAAGTTTTGGCATTAATTAGTTTTATCCAGCTTTCTTAATATTAAATAATGAATTATTTTACAGTGCTTTCTATGTCAGGATTGAAACAAGAATTTGAGCCTCAGTTTAAGTTTGTGTATTTATTAGCTAAGATTTTGGCAATAAAGTAGGGGTTTGAATTTTTTTTAACTAACCAGGGATATGACTGAACCAAGAAATTAAAATGTGGATGGGATGTGTTTCCAATTATCAGTTTTGCTCCATCAAAGCCTGCTAAATTAAAAAAAATAAACTCAAATTAGCTCATTAGGTGTTTTTTTTTTTTTAATCATAACAGCCTTAGTAAATTATCCACTTTGGTGTTCATCAGTGGTCTTTTAAACAACAAGGTAAATTTTATCCTAAATAAATGAAGCAAATAGGTAGTTTAGAAAAGACTAAGCAGAGGGATAAATTCTCCTCAGGTTTGTGCACACACAGGCATTTCCAGCAGAAGAATGAGGGAGTTAGGTGCTCTCCAAGTGTGTGCAGCTCTCCACAGCTCAGTCAGCTGTTTTCATAGGAGACCTCCAGCAGAAATGCACATTGCCAGGGAGTCCTAACAAACTATCCAAACCAGGTTAAAAGGAAATGTTTTATTCAGACCCCAGTTGGGTGGAAGTTGTGTTCCCCTTGGGGACACAGGGCTCTGGGATTGTTGGGTGAGTCAGGTGAGTGCCTGTCAGAACCCTGAGGTGTCTCCAGGGTAGGGGCCAGTATTAAACTGTATTAAACTCTTTTACTACTCACTTCACCTTAAAGCACTGTATATTATAGGCATTAAGACTAATGACCCTGATATATTTCCAGCTCCCTGCAGGAGTTTAACAGTGGGCAGAAATGAAAAGTAATTTATTTGGCAATCTTCCTGTATTGAATCTTGATTGATTCAGAAAAGCCTTATAAGAGAAAATGTAAATCTTAGAAAGGAATTCTCCAAAGGTTTGAAGATACGAGGTGCAGAGCATAGGGGGAGAATCTTTCCTAGGCAGAGGCTGAACTTCTATTTTGTGGAGAGTTATAATGACTGCAGTTCTTCAGTATCTCAGTCAATAAGCACAAGTAATTATCTACAGCATATTTTCAGGGAGTCTAGAATAATAACCTGCAGCTTAAATGAAATATGCATTTTTGTGTATTTTACTGAAATGCATCATTCACAGTATGTGGCAGTATGTTCCTTCGATGGTTTTACTCAATTCCACAGTTGGTGTTTTTTACTATAGGTACCATATTGCTCTATACTGACTGCTGTTTTTATCAATCTTACTCTACACCTTAGAAATTGAGGGGTTTTTCAGTGTTTGGGGAAAAAAAGTTCTCTGAAATAAACCTAAGTAGCAATGCTAGAAGAAAATGTAAGGGTAATTTTTAGATTTTGCACATATTTTTTTTTTCTTTAACTCCCATTAGAAAAATAAATTGAAGAACAAAGAGGTTTTAAAGCTGGAAATGGAAAAATTAATGTGAAAAAGAGGTTTCTTACTAAGATTTTCAGTTTTGCTGAGTTGATATTTTGTAGTAGGGAAAACTGTCTGACCAACTTCAACCAGATTTTTGTTAAAATGTGTTGGCTAATAACATATCGTCATGAAAACCAGGTGCTGAACACCAACCCTCTAGTGAAATACGGAGCAAAAATAAGAACAGTGTTTGGATTATGAAACCTGAAATAAACAGATTTAACAGATTTTTCTTAGCAGAAATCATAGATACCAGCCATTGGAAGCTGATGCAAGATCTATCTTGCCTTGTTTGATACTGCAAGTGATATATTTTTCTTCGTAAAAATACATGTCTGGGTTTCAGTCTCATCATCTCTTGGGTGGGCCATAGAGGTCTCATCTGATTTTGGATGTACAAAGAGGACTCTGCCATCTAATGTGTGAAAAACTTCTGAATTGTGGAAGAATTAAATTTCTCTATTTTTTATTTAGGGATGGTTCTCATTTAACTGTCTTAACATCTCAGTGACTGGTTCTGTCATATGTCGAAGTTACTGAAGTAGAAATTATTGACCTTTTGTAAATTTTCAAGATTCAGTGTTTTGCTATGAAACTGCTTTGACTGTAAGAATGGAGAGGAGATGGAAAAAAATCTTTTCAATGGTATTGCTATAAACCTAGAATCAGCCTTTATTCAGAATAGGGATGGTAAATGCATTTATAAAATGTTAACTATCTTAGGTTATGCATTAAAAGGGCAATTAGGGACTGAAGCAAACCTAACCTAAAGAGTGTCCCTCCTTAAACAGTTGAGAAAAATGTTCCTTTCTCCATCTGCAGAAATCCCAGATATATTTGTCTCAATTGTAACAGGTGTATGTGTGCCAGGAAAACAATTTTGTATTTTGAAAAATATGTGATCCTCTTGCAAGGAAATAAGAAAAACTAATAATTCAGAAATGTGAAGATTTAGCACTTTTACCTTTTCTCTTAGTTTCTTTGGCCCAGACATAGGAGTCTGAGACTCTAAAGGCTCCCTCCTTGAGACAGTGAGGATTCACCTGCCTCTTTCACTTAGCAATGGATATGTTTTTACAATTGCAAGTAGAGGTATTATTTGTATGGATTGCTTTTATCATTAGGGCTGTACAGTGAAATTAATAAATGGAAAAAAGTTCAAAGAGGTGACAAAAATGATGAAAGAATGGGAGAGCATGACCTCATGCTATAGACAGCCTGCCTGGGAGAAGAGAGCTGCCAGGCACTTGAGAGGAAACAGGAGTGGAGGAGGAGGAATTATTTAAGGTGATCGTGGGATGTCTAACAGGAAGTAATGACCCAAGCTAAACAGGGAATGCTTTCTAACAGGGAGGTCGGTGGGACAATGGGAGTGCTGGGCAGGAGAGTTCAGGGAGGTGTCGTCCTGCAGGGCGTTCAAGAGTTCACTGGACAAAACACTCTGGTAAATCAGGCTAGCAGTTTGTCCTGAACTGGTGTGCAGGATGTTCAAGGTGACCCAGGAGCCCTTCTGAAGACCTGCCAGGAAACATGTGTTGTGTGAATAAGTTTAGTCTTTGTGCTTTTTATATACAACCTATCTGAAGAGAAGGAAAAGATCTTGTAGTTCAGTGCTTCTTAAGTTTCCTGTGGCAGGTGTGCAGTTCCTGACCTCTGTGGAGGGTTTGGTTTCTTAATTCTTCAAGAACACATGATTCATTTGGGATGTGTATTTTAATAGAATTTGTCTTTATAAATAGAGGTGATATCAAATGCTTCATAGACTTGACTCTTCCTTCTTTGCAGTATTTATATAAAACCTTTGCTTTTGAACACCAGTGAAATGGAGGCTGTAACCCAGTTGCAGGTAGTTATTGACTTGAATATAGAAGGCATTATCAGCTTTACAAAAAACCTTTAACTCAGTATTACTTGTATTTTTGGCAGCTTCACTGAAGTGAAAAATGTTTTTGTTGAGGTGGATCTCTGAAGGTGTTGTAGTTCCTTGCGAGCCTGCCTTGCCTGTAAGCTGGTGAGCTGACTGCAGGAAGGTTGTATGCATATATCTGCAGCACAGCAGCCTAAAGCAGAACTCTCTGCATGCCTAGGGTAGTAAGCAAGTTTAAAAAAAGAAGACTATAATGAAAGAGAGCAGATTAACTCTTTTAAAAATTAATACAAAACTGCTTTATCAATGTGGCAGGGTTATGTGAATCACAGCAATTCCAATTTGAGCTGCAGCTAAAAATTTCCAGTATAACACTGTGTTAAACAGCTGTAATTTATCTCTGCCCTGTTTCTATAATCACCTCAGTGTCCTCACTGGAAAGCAACGCCTTCTCTGTTTCTCTTTCACCCTAGTTCCTGCTAAATGTTCTGACTGATTCTTTATAGATCTCCTGCTTTTGGTTTGGGCTTTTGGGGTCATTTCACAGTGATTTGTGGCCTTCCTTCAATCCTGGCCCCTGAAGATGCTGATCTCCTTCCTCCCAGAGCACTCTCAGCTGGCACCTGTTAGAGAACTGTGCTCCAGCCTTCTCTCTTTCCTTCTGCAGTTGGTGATATGCTATCACTTGACTGGAGCTCAGTGAGGTATTTATAGAATCTTGAACAATTTGCACCCACAAGCAATTGTATGAAATAATTTTCCAGGGACATTCACTTCTTAGAATTTAACAGGAAAAAAGTTCAATATTAATTTTCTGGCACTTAGCACTTCATCTCTCTCTCTCTCTTTTTGAATTTTTATTTATGTCACAAACATTCAACATATTTGTCCATATCTCTGTTTTATATGCAGTATATAAACATCTTGAAATATTGTTGAATAATTTTGGGAAAAAATATGCCTCTTCTGTTTTTAGAAGGCAATTTCTATGTTTAAAGAGCTGCTAGTGATTTCTGAGTACTGGTAGAAATAATGCATTATTTTTTCAATAGTTCAAGTTAAATTATGCCTGCCTTATTTCTCTAAATCCTCCTCTGGTAT